TAGGAGAACTGGCCACTCCCCTTCCAGTGTTAAACTGTTACTTCCTAGACTATGGAATCTGTGCCTTTACAACCTCTTTTTAAAAAACAACTAAGGACAAAATAACTTCTGCCTATTTCTCACTGCCTGAATGTGTGATGGTCTCTCTTTCTTCATCAAGATGTCATTTTTAAGATAGTAACATTCTGGAATACACTCAGATTCTTCTTCTGTGTATGCTTTTTGATACAGTTGCTTTAGTTTTTCATCTTTCTGTTGTAACTCAGTTAATTTCTGAGCTAAAAATATCCAATTTGACCTCTACCTGTTCTTGTTTCTTCTCAACCACTTGATCAAACGTGGTCTCTGATAATCATACTTCAATTTCCTTACCTTTATTCTTTGATTTCTCCTCCTGTTTCAACCTGTGTCTTTGTGGACCTTGTTATTGCACAGTCAGGAACAATCTCAAGATATACTTCCTGTACCATTTAAGTTGTCTGATGTTCCACTGGCTTTTCAACCACAGTAGGCATCACTCCCATCTGTGATCCAGCTGTGTCATTATCAAAGACAAATTGTACTCCTGGAGCAGAGAGTTTCTCCAGTACTGTTACCACCACTTCTCCACTTTTCACCAGACAATCCATCCTCCTTTTATATAATGGAACACTTCTCATCTCACCATGAATTACACATATTACCACCTTTTCTGGCAACAGTCCTTCTGAATTACATATCTCCTCATCTCTCAACAAAAATTGACATGATCCTGTATCTCGTAAAATTTTAATTTAAACATTTACCCGCTCATCCTGGCATATGCAAATAGACATTATCCTTGCAAGTAAATTTTTTAAGGAGATCTGGCACTTTCTTCTCAACCAACCCCTGACCAGGTTGTACATTCTGTTGCAGCTTTTTAGGTTCAACTGTGCTTTCCATCATCACTTCAATAAAACTTGCTAACCTATCCTGTTTTCCCACATCCATCTTCCCAGTGCTTTTGCTAAACCACCAACACCGCAACTTCATGTTGCCTACTTTATTGCAGTGAAAACACCCAAGCTTTTTTACTTCTCTTTCCTCCTCATGGGTTTCCTCCTCATGGGTTTCCTTTTTACCCTGTTATAAACTATCTTTACTATCTTCAATGAGATCCTTTTCCTTTACAACCAGAGAATTTCTCTTTTGCCCAATTTCTATGCCTCATCCACTGAAATTGATGTTGGAAACCAAACTTTCATTTATGAACCAACTCATAATCAGGGACATTTCTGCTGCTAATCTTGCAGTTTTAACTCTCTGCTCTTCCACATGAGTTCTCACTACTTCAGGAAGTGAATTTTTGAAGTGAACCCTCCAAGATAATCGTCTAAGATCTATTTGATCTATTTTCATTGCCTTCATCCACTTATCAAAACTATTTTGATTGATCCTTTCAAACTCTATGTACCTTTGACCAGTATCCCTCCTTAGACTTCTGGCACTAGCTCATATGCAATGAACATGGCATTTTTCACCTCATTATACTCCTCTGATAGTGATGCAAATACTTCACCAGCTCTACCTGTCAACTTTGTTTGAATTGACAATACCCACATGGTCACTAGCCACTTAATTTGTGTAGCCACTTTCGCAAATGAAATGAAAAAGGCTTCTACATCCTTCTCGTTGAATTTAGGCAATGCTTGGGCATATTGAAGCAGAACCCCACTTTGGTTACAATGAGTTTGCTTGTCGTCACTATCCTCCTCATTAAGCCTACCTTCTACCTTCATCTCTGCACTTTTAGGTTGATTTTCCTCTCTAATTGCCAAATTCTGAAGTTCAAACTCTTTCTCTTTCTGCTTTTCATCTGTTATGTCCTTTCTCTTCTTTACTTTTTCCTCTGCTAGGACTATTCTTTCCTTTTCTTTTTCTTCTCCTTTTAATTGTAAATAAAATTGTTTCATTTCCTTTTCTCTTTCTTTTTGTTCTGCCAGGGCTATTTTTTCTTTTCTTTTTCCTTTGTCATTGCCTCTAATTCAAACTGCTTCATTGGCATTTAAAGTTCAGACATGTCCAGTGACTCAAATGGCATTCTGAGCAATTGTAATTGCTGCATCATTGCTGCAATTCTTTCCCATTTTCTTGCAGACACAGGCAAACCCAACTCCAGCTTGTTTACCAATTTGCAACGCTTTACCTTGCTCACTTTCTGTAAAACTCCAAGTAACTTCTTCCAGGCCAGGAAAATTCTTAGTGACTGAAAGAACCATTACCACAGAAGGCACACCCTGTTTAAACCAACCGAACTCAACACCTGAACCAAAAGACACTAAACCTATCACTTGCTGCCTTTGAGTCCAATAATCCTAAACCCAACCTGGAATCAGAGATTTGGATCCAAACAAGAGTCTCAGTTTGTTATGGACCAAACCCCCTCAAATACTTTAAGAAGGTAGCCTAGACCCTAACCTTTTATTTTGAAGGCAAATGTGAAGCACCATGTTCCAGATGCAGTTGCCAGTTTGCAGCCCGAGTCTGGATATTGTCCAGGTCATGATGTATTTGGATATGGATTGCTTCAGTATGTGTAGATTCACAAATGGCGCTAAACATTGCGCAATCATTGGTGAACTTTACCAGCATGTCCTATGATGGATGTTCTGTTCTATTTTATTGAATAAACCTGTGATGTCATTGTGTTGTGCTGGACCCTGATCCTAAACTTCAATTTATCCTGTTAAACAAATCCTTACGCACTGTGAGCCAAAAATGCAAACAAAAGCACTCTGCCCCAAATTCCAAAACAGCTTCCAAATTCCCTGACCAATATATTCAATCGGGTTGTGTCTGATTTCAGATACAATTTCTGTTTTCTACCTGTGCACAGTTTACAAGTTCCACAGACCCTCCCTAAAATTGAGCTGAGCTGACTCACACTTGTTAAGCTTCAACAATAACCTAGGCTTTAGATGATTGACTGATAATTGTCCCTCAGTCAGCTATCTTATTAAGCTTTTCACCACACAACTGAATTTTAAACATTTAAAACAGAGGAAGTAATGATTAACCACTTCTACTGCCATGCTGCCTCAAAATTCCCTGAACTTTGTATTAACTCAGGCTGTGTCTCACTCCAAATGTGATCTCTCCTTCCTGACCTTGCACAGCTCAACAAGTAAACAGTGTTATTGAGTCACATAGCGTGGAAAATGACCCTTCAGTCCAAATCATCCATGCTGACCAGATATCCCAAATTGAATTAATCCCATTTGACAGCATATGGCTGATATCCTCTAAACCCTTCCTACCCAGATGCATTTTAAATGTTGTAAGTGTACCAGCCTCCACCACTCGCTTTGGCAGCTCATTCCAAACACAGACCACCCTTTGCATGAAAAAGATTCCCCTTAGGTCCCTTTTAAATCTTTCCCCGCTCACCTTATACCTATACCCTTTAGTTTTGGAGTCCCCTACCCAAAGAAAAAGACAGAGGCTATTCACCTAATCTATGTCCCTCATGATTTCATAAACCTCTATAAGGTCACTCCTCAGCCTCCAAAGTTCCAAGGGAAATCAGCCACAGTATTCAACCTCTCTCATTTGCTAAAATCCACCACTCCTGATAACATCCTTGCAAATCTTTTCTGCAGCTGTTCAAGTAGGACAACTTCCTTCCTGTAGCAGGGCAACCAGAATTATACCTGATTTCCTAAAAGCGGCCTCACCAATGTCATGTACAGCCTCAACACAACATCCCACAACCTACATTAAATGGACTGACCAATGAAGGCAAGTATGCCAAATATGTTCTAAACTACTCTGTCTACCCGTGACTCTGCTTTCAAGGAACTATGCACTGGTTTGAGGCAGCACGGTGGTTCAGTGGTTAGCACTACTGTCTCACAGCATCCAGGTTTGATTCCAGTCTCGAGCGACTGTCCATATGGAGGTTGCACATTTACCCCGTGCCTGCGTGGTTTCGTCTGGGTGCTCCAGTTTCCTCCCACAATCCAAAGATACGTCGGTTAGGTAGATTGGCCATGCTAAATTGCCCAGAGTGTCCAGGGATGTGCAGGCTAGGTGGCTTAGCTATGGGAAATGCAGGGTTGCAGGGTAGCAAGTTGAGTCTGGGTGGAATGCTGTTCGGAGGGTCACTCTGGACTCAATGGACCAAATGGTTTTCAGCGGGACATGGTATGATTCTATGCACCTGTACCTCTAGGTCTCTTTTTTCAGCAGCATGCCCCAGGGCCCTACCATTAAGAGCGTAAGCCTTCCCTGGTTTGCCTTACCAAAATGCTACATCTCACATTTATCTAAATTAAACTCCATCTGCCACTCCTTGACCCATTGGTCCATCTCATCAAGTTTCCGTTGTACTCTGGGATAATCTCCTTCAGTGTCCACCATATCACCTACTTTGTGTCATCTGCAAACAAACAAGTAATCACATAGTCATGACTTAAGGATAATTTGCCTGAAGTAAACAGTGATGAGACAGACCAGAAAATCAGAGATTAATGAATACTATGCTGCACATACATTCTAGTGAACTTGTGATTCATGCAGTTAAACATTATCCATGAATGGTATACATCCCCAAATCAAACCATACAGCACTTTCAGTACAAACTATGCGAACAACATTCACAGCAGGAAACATGCCACAAACATATGAGTTTCCTTCACATCAATTTTATTACAGAGTACCCACATGAACATGACACTCTGATTAATATTGACAGACCTGGGCAGATCCAGTTCAATTGTCAATACTATTTTATCACGTAAAATTCTGAACATGTTACAATAATGTAAGTTAATCAAACTGACAGCACTGTCATAATTACAAGAATCATAGCTCATTCTCCTCACTAAGTCCCTCTCTAAAACTGAGCTTCTATTAGTTTCTTCTCTCCCTCTCCTTCTTTCCCCCAGCGTTACAGAGCTCCTTGCTGATCATTCAGTTCCAGTTCCGATACAGGGTTTATACCTGGAATGTTAACCTGGCCTCTCTCTCCACCTGTGACTGAGACCAACCCCAATCAGTTTACAGCTGGCGGATTGTCAGCGGAGCAAAGTTTTTCCCGTCATCGTTCATTCCCGGATCGAAGAAGGGAAACAGCCTCTCAGTGAAAGTGTGGGTGAAAGTGTGGAGATGGGACATGGTGTCCGCATTGTAAAATGACACCTGTCCACCCTCATAGTCCAGGAAAACCCCGATCTTCCGGGGATTCAAACGCAGGAAGAGGGGGATCCGTGAGGGAGAGGTGACGGCTAAATAACCATCTCCGGGATACAGCCACACAATCCAGAATCCGGTTTCCGGGTTCAGGTCAATCTCATCCCTCTCCACAGACTTTCGGGCCACTCCCAGGATCCACTCTGTCTTCTCCCCCACCTCCACCTCCCAGTAATGTCTCCCTGATGTAAATCCCTCTGATCCCAGGACACACGGCCAGGGATCAAATCTTTCCGGGGAGTCAGGGAGCGGCTGCGGTTTGTCTCCGAGTCTCACACTGGTCCGGTCCTCACACAGGATGAGCCGGGGATGCGCTGTGTTCGGATCCAGGGTCAGAGAGGCTGGAGCTGGGGGAGAGATCAAATAACACCGTCAGTGAGAGGAAGGGAGAAGGAGAGAGAGGGGAGAGTGGGTGACGAGGGAATAGGGCGGGATGTTGAGTGGAGGGGGAAAGCTGAGGGAGATGGATGCTTTTTGGGGGAAGGAAAGGGAGGAATGAGCGCAGAGGATGGGGATGAGGGTGTGGATGTCGAAGGAATGTGTAGTGTGGGATAGGAAGTGGGAGAGGGGGAAGGATGTTTGGGGGATGTAAGTGTGAGGGACGGAGTGAGAAAGAGTGGGATGGCAGAAGGTTGAATGGCCGAAGGGAGGGGAACAAAGGGGAGACGTGCAGGAAGAATGCGGATAGGATTGGGTAAGAAGAATGGAGAGGGGCAGGTGAAGGGTGAGTGGGCATAAGGTAGGAAGAAGTGAGCAGTGGTTGGGAGAGTGGGAGAGTAATTAAGAGAGGGCGAAGGAGGAAGGAAGAGTCGTAGAATGGTAGGAAGAATGGGGGACAGAGGAGGAATAAAGAGTAGGGGAGATGAGGGGCAAGGAAGAGTGGGGAAGGGAAGTGAGGGAAGAGTGGGAATATGTGGAAAGAATAATGGGAGGTAGGTGTGGGAGAGGTGATTAGATGTAAGACAGTGTGGGAGGGGAGGGACAGGATGAGAAGGGGAGGGACACTGTTTAGAACAAGGCAGGGTGTGGGAAAGCAAGACGGTAGGAGCCGAAGATGGTAGGAAGAGTGAGGGTAGGAAGGGAGGGGTGGTGTAGGAAGACTGATTGAGGGGTGTAGGAAGATGGGGGAAGAGGAAGGAAGAATGGGGAATGGTAAACTGGTGGGTGAACAAAGACAGTAGGAGGGGAGGGAGATGGAAGAATGGGATGGGTGGGATGAAGTGTGTTGGGGGGAAGGAAGAATGGGGGAGAGGCTAGGGAAGAGTGAGATGAGGATGAGGAAGGAAGAATGAGTGAGATGAAACAAGAGTTGAGTTGGGTACGTGGATGGGATGGGGGAATGAACGATGGGGGTTAGGAAGAGTGATGTGGGCAGGGGAAAGAAAGTATTGGGGAAGGCCAGGAAATGAAATGTGGGGAAAAGGAGGGGAAGGAAGAGTGTGGTAGGGTAGGTAGTGTGGGCAAGGGAAGGAGGATGAGTGGGGAGGGGAGAGGTGAGGAAGGGTTAAGTAGCAGGGTGTGAATGAAGAATGAGGAGTGAAGAAGGAAATGGAGGGGAGAGGTTACGTGGTGATAGAGTAGTTGAGGGCAAAGAAGAATGGGGAGGGGTAGGAAGAGTGGGAGAGAGGGAAGTTAGAAGATAGAGGGAAGTTAGAAGAGGGAGGGAAGTTAGAAGAGGGAGGGGAGGGGAAGGCGTGGGAAGGGAGTGAATTGGGGTTGGAGGGGGAGATTAGGATCATCAGCATTTACAGTCCAGAGGCCACTGAGCCCATTGTGTCTGTGTCAAAACATTTTATGGAAACAGGATATTTCCCCTTCCCTTGGGCAGTTAGTGATTGGAAGCAAATTCTGGCCATGCAAGTGACACCTGCATCCCACATTAAGACTGTTTTGGAGCTCTCAGAATGGGTAAAGTCTGGTTGATGTGGTTCAAACAGTAGTTACTGGAAATGGGCATGGATTTCAGAATTGATCGCGTAGAACCTAAGAATACAACATGTAGCAGCAGAATTTGGTAATTCAGGCCATCAAGTCTGCTCCACCATTTGATCATGGCTGATATGTTTCTCAAACGTATGCCCCTGCCTTCTCCCCATAACTTTTGATCTCCTCACTAATCAAGAACCTCGAGAATATTGAAGGATTTTGTTGAAGGAAGTAAAGGACACAGAGGAGTCCATAAGGTTTTGGAGTAGATCTGTAGCTCGGGTTGTGGGTGTTGAGGTTGGTTGCCTCGCCGAGCTGTTTTGTTGTTCCACAGACGTTTCATTACCGTGCTGGGTAACATCCTCAGTGCAGCCTCTGATGAAGCTAGATCTGTAGCTCGGGTTGTAGGTGTTGAGGTTGGTTGGCTCGCTGAGCTGTTTTGTTGTTCCACAGACGTTTCATTACCGTGCTGGGTAACATCCTCAGTGCAGCCTCTGATGAAGTCCAGGATGGGTCGCTTGAGATTGGGTTTATAAAATTTGGAAAGGGAGTTGCAGAGGACATGAGGAGACAGATCCATTAACACACTGACTTTGCGTGGGAAACAGTAGGAGTTAGGGGAACAGCAGTTAAACAGGAAGAGGGTAAATAGGCCAGAAGGAGGGCCCTGCAGAGAATACAATCTTAGTAAAAAAGCTGCAGCAAATCTGTAGATCACAATAAAGCCTAAAGGCAGTTGGAATTCAGCCCAGAGCAGAGTCTTACATCAGGTTATCTTCACTACCTGGGGCTGTCCTCCCTTTTACACTGGTAGGCATTCTGATGGATTCAGCAACTCATTCCATACACACATAAGCAAAACAGGGTAGAGAGGGAGTTAAGTTGAAAGTCAATTTGTTTGAATCTCCTTTGTATTGATTTTTCTGTGACTAGGATGTGAGCTTATTGAATTGCAAGTTGCTCCTTTGCTTTGTCTCTCCTTCCACTCCCCGCCCCCACCTCATTCATATTTCTGACACTCCCAGTCACTACTTCTCACTCAAATTTTCTCAAGGACCACTCATCACCTTTCCAGACTGCATATCCATGGAAAACTAACAGGAATATTTTACTGAACCAAAGTCTCAGACTGGATTGAGACACTGATCAAATTCATGGAGTGGTCAGTGTGTTCACTGCTCAATTAATGGGACCTATCAAAATATCACCCTCACTATCTCCAAACTGTCTTGTTACACTCTCTTATGGAAGGTTACAAATATCCTTACCTTGTTGTCGAACCTGTCACCATGTTAAACTGATGGATGTCATCTCTGTACTGTTTTGAACCTTGAACGCTTCAATATTATCATCACACAGCCTCCATTAATCAATTAATTAATTAATTCTGCTGCCCCTTCTGTTGACTAAACTGTCTAATTCCATCCAGCACACTAGCTGTCTGTTAATACAACCTCTCAAATGACAATACATTTCCTGACAATACTTTGATACAATTGTCAGCCAGATTTATAATCAGGACAATTAGAATGTGTTTTACCTGGGTTAATGTCATCCATCATTTCTCTTAAAGCTGTGTACTGTAAAGGGCCATTGAACTTTCCAATAGACAGAGCTTCATCTGCTGTTGAGAGTTCTTGTTGGCCATTGCTGATCCTGTAAAAAATACACAGCTAATGTTAATAAATTTCACTTTGTTAGAATGTTAGAAATTATTTATATCATCAAGCCTTCAGCATTTTATATTTTCAGCAGAGTGTTTTTTTCTTTATTCGTTCACAGTATGAGGACGTCACTGACCAGACAGCATTTATTGCCCATCCCTAATTGCCCAGAGGGCAGTTAAGAGTCAACCACATTGTCGTAGGTCTGGAGTCACATGAAGGCCAGACCAGGTAAGGATGGCATTTCCTTCCTTAAAGGATATTGGTGAACCAGATGGGTTTTTCCCAACAATCAGCAATGGATTCATTGTCATCATTCGACCCCTAATTACAGATATTTTTATTGAATTCAAATTCCACCATGTGGTAGAAAATAAAGTGTTAATTCTGTTTCTATCACAGTAAAATTTAACTTGGAAATGCAAGGGTCCAGGATGGAATTCATGCTGTGTAAAGACAAAATGCATAACCCTATAACAGATTAATTACCAAGACATCACACACCACAGAATATGATAAATGTTCAGCAGGTGTTATTTGCTGTAACAAAAACAGAGCATGTGGAACAAAGACAAAGACTGAAATCATCTAAAAGCCCTATGTCCAACTGTAAGGTGTGGGTTCCACAGTCCCCCGAGAATCCTGCTCCTGTCCCATCTTGGCCTCTTCAACATCTCTGATTTTAGTGTCTCCCCCATTCCGTTGCCAAGACTATCAGCTCTGGAATTCCTTCCCTGAGCCCTTCCATTTCTATTTTCTCTTTTAAAATGCTCCAGATTCTACACCAATAATCTGTATAAATCTCTCTGTGTCACCTTTTGCTTTCCAGCCCACCCTGCAAAAATGAGTAATAGAGTTGTACGGCATGACAACAGACCCTTTAGTCCAACTCATCCATGCCAAGCAGATACCCTAACTTAATAATAATCCTATTTGCCAGCATTTGGCCCATACCCTTCTAAACCCTTCCTATTCATATATCAATTAAGATGCCTTTGAAATGTTGTAATTTTATCTGCCTTCTTGGACTGCTGCAGTGTAAGTGTTTTAGGAAGACGTACAATTCTACAAGGGAGTAAATTTCAGGATTTTGACACTGCAACAGTGAAGGAACGGGCATATACTTCCAGTCAGAATAGCGAGCAGCTTGCAAGGGAACCTGCATGCAATTTTGTTCCTATGTATCTTGCACTGCACTGATGATGTTACCCAGCATGGTAACGAAATGTCTGCAGAACAACAAACCAGCTCAGTGAGTCAACCAACCTCAATATCTTGTGCCCTGTCCGTTTAGATGAAAGTGACCATTGGTTTGGAAGCTGATGTCTCTGGATCATTGGTGAATTTCTGCAGTAAATTACAGTAGATGGTGCACACTGCTGATATTGAGGGTTGGTGGAGTGATTAAATATTTGTGGATGTGCTGGCCGTCAAGTGGGCTGTTTTGTTCTTGGGGGTGTCGAGCTTTTTGAGAGTTGTTGAATCTACACTCATCCAGGCAAATGGGCAGTATTCCATCAGACTCTTGATGTGTGCCTTGTAGATGATGGACAGGCTTTTTGGACTCAGGAGGTGAGTTACTCGCCACAGTATTCCTACCATCTGGGATGCTCTTTTAGCAAATGTGTTTTTATTGCATGTCCATTTGAATTTCTGGTCAATGGTACTTCTCACAATGTTGATAGCAGAGGATTCAGTGATGGTTATGCCATTGAATGTCAGTGGGTGGTGGGTAGCTAGTTTCTTTTTGGAGATGGTCATTGCCTGGCATTTGTACAGTGTGAATGTTCTTGCTAATTTCCAGCCCAAGTCTAGTTATTGCCCGGTTCTTGTTGCATTTGTACATGGACTGCTTCAGTATCTGAGCATTCACGAATGGTGCTGAACATTGTGCAATAATCCGTTAAAGTTACCACTCTGATCTTATGATAGAGGGAAGGTCATTGATAAAGCAGCTGAAGATGGTTGGGCGCACGACACTACCCTGAGGATCTCCTGCACAGATGCCCTGCAGCTAAGATGACTGACCTCCATTAAGCACATTAATCTTTCCATTTACCAGGTATGACTTCAACCATGGATGGCCATTCCCTGGAAACATCAGCCATGTGACTGTCTCAGGATGGGGAAAGGCCATAGTCACAAAAACAAACTAAATCAGGTTGGTGATCACTTCCAGCCTGGACCCAGTCTGCATTATTTACAAGAATCTTGTCCTTGATTATAATGCTGTAGAGTGCACTGTTTTATAAAGTCCAACAGTAATCTAGTAGGGCCAACATGATCCTGTAAAGGTGAAGGGTAGGACAAACATTCAAGGGACCCTTTGATGTCCAGGGACATATAGATTTGGATAAGAAATACAAAAGGAAGCTTATAAGAAATACAAAAGGAAGCTTATCGTAGATACTGATGCATTAAAACAGCAGATATCCTCAAGGAGTATAGAAAGTGCAGGGGTTCGCTTAAGAAAGAAATTAGGATAGCAAAGAGCAGATATGAGAATAACCAGGGAAGATTTAAGTGTAAAAATTTCTGGGGAGTAGAGACAGGGTTGATGTCGATAGGTTATATCCTTGGAGTAGATGGATTCTCAATGAGGTAGCACAGATTTTTGTAAAAAGCTGCAAGTTTAGAGGGGTTTGAGGAAATTTTTTGTTACCCTGGAACTCAATGCCTAAAAGGGTGACAAGTAGCAAGAACACTCAAGATATTGAAGAACTATGTGGACGCACACTTCAGACATCAGAGCCTACAAGGGTATGACATGTGCTCATAGAATAGTTTAGAATCGATTGAAGAGTTAAGGATGGAAAGATAACTTGAGAAGCAGTAGGGCCCATTCAGGTCCACAGTGTTTATTTGTGTGTGGAGATTGAGGGTATAGGTAGAGTTCTAAATGAATACTTTTTGTCAGTTTTCATGAGTGAGGGAGATGATGTGGGTAAAGAAAATCATGGAGAAGAACTGTGATATGTTTTTTAAAACTTAGAATAGACAGTGAGGAGCTTCTGAGTGGACAAACAGGTTTAAAAATAGATAAATCTCCAGGGCTGAATGAAATGAGTGTTGGGGAAATAGCAGGGCCCAGCCAATAATTTTCATTTGCTCCCTGGCCACAGGAGAGGTGCCAGAGGATTGGTGGACAACCGATGTGGCACCATTATTCAAGAATAGAGCAAGGAATATACCAGGAAACTATGAGCCAGTCAGTGTAATCTCAGAGGTGGGGAAACAAATGGAATGATTTCTGAGGGACAGAATTAATGTGCACTTGGAGAAGCAGGGGTGAATCAAGAACAGTCAGCATGGATTTGTTAAGGGGACGTTACATCTGGCCAAATTGATTGAATTTTTCAAAAGGTGTGCAATGATATCAATATGTTCGATCTGGGCTACTTGGACATTAGCAATGCTATTGATAAGGTGATGCATTGGACATTGATAGTAAAAGTAAGAGCCCATCGGATCCAAGGAAATTTGGCTGACTGAACCCAGAAATAGCTGAGTGGCAGGAAGTAGAGGGTGATGGTGAGGTGTGTGTTTTGTGCCTGGAAGCCTGTATTGAGTGATGTTCCACAAGGATCAATGTTGTGGTCATTGCCATGTGTGGTATATATAAATGATTTAGACCTGAAGGCAGGAAGTGATCTGTAAATTCATGGATGACACAAAAATTGATGGGGTGTTAAATAATGAGGAGGATAGCTGAGATTACAGGATGACAGACTGGTTGGGTGCGCTGATCAGTGGCAAATGGAATTCAATCTGGGTAAGTGTGGGATGATGCACTTGTGGAGGATAAACAAGGCAAGTGACTACATGATTAACCGTAAGATTCTGAGAAGCACCAAGGATCAGAGGGACCTGGGTGTGTATGTCCACAGGTGTCTTGAGGTATCAGGGCATATAGAAAAAGGGGCCAAGAGCTGTATGGGCTAATTGTATTTATTAGTCAAGGCACAAGAGTTTATGAGCAGGGTGGTGATTCTGGAACTGTATAAAGTGTTGGTTAGACTCAGTCCCGATTAGAACTTGGCTGGGCGACTGTCTGGGAATACGAGGTAGAGTAGGCAGGGGTGGCCTGGTGGCTCAGTGGTTAGCACTGACACCTCACAGCACCAGGGATCTAGGTTCGATTCCAGCCTTGAGTGACTGTTTGTGTGGAGTCTGCACATTCTTCCCATATCTGTGTGGGTTTCTGCTGGATGCTCTGGTTTCCTCCCACAGTTGAAAGTTTAAATGGATTGGCCATGTGAAGTTGAGCATAGTGTCCAGGGATGTATATGCTAGGTGGATTGGCTATGGAAATGCAGGGTTTCAGTGATAGGATAGGGTGTTGGGCCTGGATGGGATGCTGTTCAAAGGGTCAGTGTGTTCTTGATGGAACAAATGGCCTTCTTCCATGCTGTAGGGATTCTATGAAAGCTGTGTACAGTTCTGGAATCCTCAACGCAGGAGGGGTCTCATTCCATTGGAGAAGATGCAGAGGAGATTTACCAGGATCTAGACTGGGCTGGAGAATTTCAGTTATGAAGAGAGATAGGACAGGGTGAAGTTGTTTTTCTTGGAGCAGAGCAGACTTGAGGAGGGGAACATGGTTGAAATGTACAAAATTATGAGGAGCGTGGACAGGAAAGAACTTTTCCCCTTGCTCGTGGGATGAATGACAGGGCGTACATTTGTGGCAAGGGGCAGTAGGTTAGGATGTGGGGAAAGATTTTCTTTTGTACAGACAACATTTAAAAGACATTTGGACAGGTACATGATTAGGAAATGTGTAGAGGAATATGGGCCAAATACAGGGAAATGGGACTAGTTCAGTGGAGGAAACCTGGCCAGTCGGGACAAGTTGGGCGTTTAGGCCTGTTTCCGTATTGTGTGACTCTGTGACTCTCTGTCTCAGAGGGTGGTCAGAATTTGATCTCTCTGTATGCTCGAGACACAGATCTTCACAACATCTCGGAAGTATTTAAATGTGCACATGTGATG